CACTGATACGCGAACACACGGTCACATCGGCGATAATTCCAGTCGTCTTTTCACAACCCACAACACTGCCATCACGATGTTGCAGCTATGTTGCTGACACGCACAAATACAGAACCACGTTGAAAGCCGGTTGCACTCGGCATCGGAAAACAGAACCGAACTCAGCACAGATGGCACCCAGGCAGCCGGCAGCAAAACCTGCCTGTCTTGGACGCAGTTCCTGCGGTTTCCAAAACGTCGAAAACGTCGACACAGTTCCGCGTGGTTTCGCTACTGTAGTTCCGTGCCGCGTGAGTCCCGCAATCCGGAGACAGCCATCCTACCCAGTGTACGGGGCGCTGCTGGCACTGCTCCGGAACTTCGCTGTTTCTAGCGGCTTCGTTTGCTCGTTGCATAAAATTAGTGATAGAAACGTCAATGCAACCGAAATGGTCTGCACGTTTAGACTAGAAGACGGAATTACAGGCGGCCTTTGCTGCCGCTGAAGCTAAATCAACTCAACAGCTATTTATGAAACTAAGGGACCTGCTCGAAAAACAAAAGCGAAAGAAGATGAGTCGGGAGGGCGAAAGCGTTCTCCCGTCTGCCTGGAGAAGCAGAAAAACGTTTCGTTCCTCCACTTTTCTCGTGTCCGCTTAAGGGCGCGTCGGTAGAAGGGAGGAAGACGCGCCGTTGTTACTTTTTTCTCCAGTTTTCCTTAGAGTGTAGTAGCACCTCTTGAATCTTTTCCGTGTTTTCTCCTTTCCGAAGTGCCCCGAGTACGGCGTGTTAAGAAATGCTCGCAAGTCAGTCGCAACACAAGTCTTCGGCACCAGAACTCTCTCCTTCACCTCCCGAAGCTGACACCCCTTCGTTGTAGGCCGGCTGCGCTTGTACAGTGTTCCCTTCCTATCCAAGCCTAGCGTTGTCGTCGGTGAGGCGTGTTTCGTCCTCTAGTTCCTCGAGTATCGCCAGAAGATCCGGGTCCGTCCGTTGGTCTTCACGGACTTTGGCCAGATCGACTGCAGGAACAAACTCTATCGCTGTCGAGACGGCCGCGGTCCAGCTGAATGTGTCGGCGTGTGTGAGTTCTTTGCAGGATTTGTGTTTGATTTCAATATCATATTCCTAAAAAGGCAGGTACCACCTAGCCAACCGGAAATTCGGGTTCCTGACGTACCTGATCCACTTGAGAGGCGGCAGTCTGTCACTAGCTTGAAATGGCTGCCATTAAAGAAGCAGCAAAAGTACTTTACTGCCAATAACGGCCAGGCACTCTCTCTCTCTCTCTCTGCAGCCCGGTACTTCTGCTCAGAGGCGCTGAACTGCCTGATGGCATCGGCGATGGAATGTTCCTGTGCTTCGATGACCTGCGAGAACACCACTCCAGCAGCAAATTTCGAAGCGTCCGCTTCCAAGATAAACGGTTGGCCGAAGTCGGGGAGTCTCAGCTGGGGAGCAGCTATCAACTTCCTCTTTAGTTCACCAAACGCGGCATCAGCCTGTTCTGTCAAACGAAAGACCACATGCTTTGCCGTCAGAGCCGTGAAAGGCTTCGCTATTTTAGAGAAGTCCTGAACGTGTCTGCGATAGCACCCAATAAGTCACAGAAACCCACGGAGACCACCGATACCCATTGAAGCTGGAAAGTCACTGATGCATCGCAGTTCGGAAGGATCTGGCCTGCCCCCTTCAGCGGAAACGACATGGTCCAAATATGGAACTTATATGCCAAATATATGCCAACAAGTATGGAACTTATGGAACCAAATATGGAACTTCTAAGAAATTTGCACTTTGAGGGCTTGAGCTTAAGACCAGCTGCCTCCAAGCGCTCATACATCCTTCAAAAGCGGTGAGGTGCTCCTCAAAGTTGTGGCTATGAATGATAATCTCACCTATATACAGAAAGCACAGCTTCCCCAGCAGTCCTGCCAAGGTGACATTTGTCGTTTGCTGCCACACGGCCGGGCTATTAACAAGCCCCATCGGCATGCGCTTCCGCTGGTAGTTACCCGACGGCGCACTGAAGGCTGCTTTATCAAAGTCTAGTGTGCCCATTTCAGTCTTCCAGAAGCCTGAGGCAAGGTCTACAACCTTGAAATACTTGGCCCAGGCCAGCTGGGAAAGTGTCGCTGGAATGTTTAGCAAGGGGTACGGGTAAATTTTCATTATCGAGTTTAATTTCCCATATTCCATGACAAATAAATAAGTTCTGTCAGGCTTTTTGACAAAGGAGCGCAGGCGCCTCCCATGGTGACTTTTTGTGCTCAACCATGTCGTTGTCGATCAACTCTCTGATTTGCCGTTCATTCTCCTCGCGCTGTGAGTTGTGATTTCGGTATGCGCACTGGTACACTGCTGGCGAGCATACTTGTTTGCAGTGTTTGCAGCGAGCAGAGAAGTTACCTCCAGTATATTCAACAAAATCACAGTGCAGTTCATAGCCGGGACACGGTAACACATACCGTTCATCACTCATAACAGCCTCTCGTTTTTTTCCTTCTTTCTTGTGGCTTCTTTATTCCCCTTCTAAATTGACATGAGACGGAGATAGCGATGAACAGACGGGTCCACTACAACAATCAGGCATGGAGCAGAAAGCTAAACCAACTGAATTAAGAAGAAAAGACCGTTGGCATCAAACAAGGTAGATAAAGGAGTAAAAAAAGGAACACGCAATCTCGTCTCGGAATCTGTTCTGCTTTTCTTTTTTAATTTCTTCTATGCAGCGCAAAAGAAAAGACTTGAACCGTGGATCACGGGATCAATGCCCCCGAGAAAGGGCAAGTCGACAAATAGAAGCACCGTCTGCGGCCCCGGTCAGGCAGTGCCTGCTGGCGGCGACTGGCTTTCGCAAAGAAAGCTATCGCCGCGACTGCTCCGGCACCGACGTCAAAGTCTCTCTTTCGGCGTTAAACAGTTCGCCAGTACGCGTCGCGTGTTTCCGTGAAGTGGCTCTGCCGCTTGGCTGAAGAAGCGGGGGTGTTCGTTGACGCCGGAAATGGTAAAGACGGGACAAGAGCCTTGCACAAAAAGGATGAAGTAAAGCAAATGCTAAATTCGCTTCTCCGGGCGATTGAAAAGGAACAACAGACGCAGAAAAATGTCTGCCCTCTGCGCCGGCACATTGCTCGGAGGGGTCATGTGACCTCACGGGGGTCACGTGAACCCGGTGACTATGGCGTCATCAGTGTCGTCACTGATGACGTCATCAGTGACGATGCCGATGCCGATGACATCACCAGTGACGATGACGATGAGGATGACGATGACGTCATCGGTGACGTCACTAATGACGTCATCAGAGACGACGACGATTACGATGCGGATGGCGTTATCAGTGACGCCACTGATGACGTCATCAGGGAAGATGACGATGCGGGTGCCGATGACGTCATCAGTGACGCCACTGATGACGTCATCAGTGACGATGACGATGCCGATGACATCATCAGTGACGACACTGATAACGTAATCAGTGACGATGACGATGCCGATGACGTCACTGATGACGTCACTGGTTATGTCATCAGTGACGTCACGCGTCCCATAATACACCGCGCGGTTACGCCGACGCCGACGGCGACTGCGGTGCCGACGCCGCTCCAGCGGGAAACGGGCGCCTAAGAGCTGCGCTCTAAAAGTCAACAGAAGGTATGTACCTTCTCTATTGAAACTGGCTAGAGCGAGCCAACTGAACATTTTCAACACGAAGTAAACAGAACGTCTACAGTCTGTCTGATGACACTGTCAACAGGAAGTCATCAGAAAAAAAACGTATAGTTTACAGAAAGTCAACAGCTTTTCTTTTGACTCAGGCTGAAGGAGATGATAACTAACATTTCAACAAAAAATCGACAAACATTCTGATGACCATGTGAGCAGGAAGTGAAAGTCAAGAGAAAGTAATCGGAGTAAAGGATGCCGACGCGTTTTGAATAAACTGTCAACAATAATTTTTTTTATGGGGTTCATGTCGCCTTCGTAAGCTTGCTGCCTCCATGCTTTTATACCGCTGTCAGACGGCGTTTTAAAGCTCCTTTTCACTAAGCTCCTTTATAAAATCAGCCAGTCAGCTCGCGATGTTGAGTTCGCAGGTGCCCTACGGCGTGCGCTGGTTCGCCGATTTTATAAAGGAGCATGTTCTAAAGTCCTTTAAAATGCCCGTCTGACAGTGGTATAAGACATGCAAGGCGTGGTTTATGTTTACGGTTTTTGCTTCGCGGCCGGCGGAGCGATAATGAGATGCGCCGGACTCGCCACACACTGCGTTTGTCTCGGTATCTAATGAACTTTGGAAATCCATTTTTCTTTATGGTTAATACGTTTCGTAATAAAAACACCTGTTACACACAAAAGTGCGATAATGGACGTTTTGAGATTGCGCGAATGATTGACTAGATGGTTTTTCGTTGAAGCCGGCAAAAAGATATTTGCCTCGTTTGTGCTGGGAGTCAGCAGCATGCTCAACTCCCACGCCGCTGGCTGGGGTTTGATACCCGCCAGCACTTGTCCTTTTTTATCGCTGTTTTGTGTGCCATGACTGGAATGTTCTATATGACTGAGGAATCGTGTGTTTGGTTCGAGCTCGGAAGCATTTGGATAGCAACGCGCTTACAAAAAGAGCTTCGCATGGCCGCTTGAGACAGTCGTCCTTCCGTCGCCGTCAAGGTATATCTTTTGTTACTTTGTTTCACGGCGCAAGTTCTCCGCATTAAACGTTCATTTAAAGTTTTATTAATCAAGTTTATGTGTTTTTTTTTTGTTACATTATGAATCTCGCCGAAGATTACATCGTCACTCAATCCCTGCCCTCGCGTACCTTTTTCGTTTTGGTTTCGCCATCCACGCAGTGCAGACGAGGAGCGCCTGTACACCAATAGACAATACGTGAAGGTACTTAACAATGAACTTTGCTGCTGGTCCAACTACAGACGTATGCTTCTTGATATTCATTATCCCTGATCCCATCAAAATACGGCATGCGTGAAACCATAAATGGTTAAACCCAGACTCACCCTGTCGATAATTTCCCGCACCATCCCGTTCCAGCGTCCGTCCCGGTTCCTGGTCCCATAGGAGCCGTCCCTGACTAGGCGCAGCTGGTAACGGAAGCCCAGCAACCGAGACATCTCGCGCACCAGGTCGACGCAGAAGCCTTCGAAGCGGTCGTTGCCGCTCAGTCTGGATGCCGACTCTTTCAGCATCACGTAAGGAGCGTTCTGCGTATCGGTCGTTTCCGAGATGCAAACGTAAATATGACTTTCTTCCCGAAGTGCTATATGTTATAATGAACAAAGGTAGCACAGTTATTTCTGGCAATAATTTGGCCCTTGTCTGGGAATTTAAGGCCTTCAAATTCCCGGAGAAGCCGAAGATAAGCGAAACCTGACCTTCCTTGGCCAGAGTCTGGGTATTAACTCGCCAAACAGGTGCCACAGTTAGGCTCCACCGTGCGTAGTTTTGCTGTCTCACATCTCTGAGCATTAATCATCAAACCAGTGCCAAAGTTAGGTTACACTTTTGCTTCTTTGGTTATCACGTGGCAACATTGGCCTAAATTCTGCGGCAAGTGGCAGATTTAAGCCGCACTGCTGAGTCTCATGGCATCTATGTCTCAAGTCTGGAACTTTGGCAATTAACTGATGATTCACGAAAAAGCCACAAAAATGCCAAATAAAAGTGCTAGCTCTCACTAACTAACGCCTTAGTGCAAAACCGTTTTAGGCCCACGCTAGGCCCCTGGGATAGCAACGATTGTGCCAAGTTCTGCGTTTCACTTGTGTACTACCTGGTTTTCTATCTGGTGCCTTCTCCCATAATAGTTCTGCAGCACGACATTAAAAATAACAAAAAAAAAATTAATACGGGCTAATTGAAGACTTAAAATAATAGCAAGAAGTGAAAATTGTGATTTTGGGGCGTTAAATGTTTTTTTTCTAGATCTTCTTTTTAAGGTAATGAGTCAATCTACACACCGTGAGCGCCATTAAAACCAAGAAATACGATCATGCTTGGCCCTTTTTTGTATTAAAAGTGCGAACAAATAAACATTCCGATACGACTTTTTTGCTCTCAAGATATATGAGGAAATTGAATGTGGTCCCGATGTTTCCCTGCGTTTTAACTTTACGCTCGCATACCTTTACCCTGTCCTGTGCAGACGTTAGTGCCAAATGTGAGCACAAATGGCTACATTTCCCAGCCTTCTGTGAACGGTGAGGGGGAAACGCGTGATCCACTAGTTGACGCAGCACCACCTGGAATAGTCAAGGCCTGCTAACGTTCCAGTCTTCCCCATTGTAACGTCATCAATGTCGGATAACGCCAAATCAGCACTGGGATTTAGACTTTATGCCGAGTGTTCTTCAAGACGTTGAATGGACACAAGGCACTGCCGAACGCCGAGTCAGCCATCTAGAGCAAAATATATGTATTATCTCGGTGTCACTGCAGTGAAGTCAAAATTGTAGTAAACTGGTTTTGACTATTCAAGGTGGTGTTGGCTGAAAACACCCCCTTTCGTCTATCGATTGCGGCCCCTTTAAAACAACAACCCCTCGGCCTATGACAGCCCCTTTCAGGTCTCGCGGATATATAAAAAAATGAACAAATGAAAACAAATGTTTTATACAGAAATTGCCACGATAAAAGCGCTGAAACTATAGACGATACCAAGGGAAACTCAAAGCGATATATGTGGATGCTTGCCATATTCCGCTTGTTTGTTTCTGCGTTTTATTCATTGCTTGCTTAGTTTTCAGTGGTGTATATTCTAAGAACTTAGAGACCTGATAATTCAATTTATACTTAGGATACTTTTGAACATTATATTATAACAAAAAATCACAAGGTTTATTCTATTATTCGAATTCAATTACTCATTAAAGTCCGGCCCACCTTTATATTCCCGTTGAAATTGCATTCGTTGATTTCTTTCTTAAGTTCGTACCATTCCCTGACAGGTTATGTTAAATGTCCTGATCTATAACGGCGAAGACGTTCCAGGGCTGACTGATTTCAATCGTTTTACTTGTGTTAGTTTATTTCACAGTCACGAGATTTCAGACAGCTCTTTTTAAGCTTCCCTTCTTCGGTCTTGTGTTCTGGAGCAAGACTAACGTGATTCTTGTCTGCTTCACTAATTATGTTGTTTCATGCTCTCATTTTATTGTGCTTATTATTTACATGAGCGGTGACCTAAACGTCATCTAGTAAGCAACACTAAAGTTCAACTTTAATATGTGCAAGGCACTGGGCGGTGGTCAAAATTAATTTGTTGGATGCTTGATTTGTTTAAACGGTGTGCAGTAGAGGTTTCGAAGATATCTGACATGAACAAATTTATGGTGTAGCAATAAAAGGTGATCACATTTATTTTTAACAGCATCTAATGTGACGGGTGTATTCTCATGAAATAAATTATTACTTCAAAATTTTAGCGAAAAGAGTACGTGTACATTGCTGGCGCTTGAAAAGTATTAATAACATGACATTATTACACCGTAGGCCCGGAAAGAATGCTAGACAAGGAAGTTAGTAAATATTCCAAATTGCAGTATTTGTCCTGGTAGGTATCATCAAAGGAGGTTTCGCCAGTAGTGGGATGCCTGGTCGGAATCCAAACAAGACAGTCTTAATCCGAACCAGGACGACAACTAATGTCTAAAAGGAAACTAGCTCCGTCTTTGTCCTTCGCTGTTTGCTTATCGGTCCAATGCTCTGATTAGCTAGTAGGTCTAACATCTCGGCTGAGAGATATAAAACAAGAATATCGTTCCCTGTCTCTGCGGGAATAGACGGGATGTACTTAGAAAAGTTGGGCAGCCGCGTAACGCGAGAACAAGAGCCGAGCCCATCACGCAAGGCAACGCATTACAGTCAGTCAAAGAAGGACGAAGAAAAAAATAAAAGAATAATGAAAAGAGGGAACCTAATTTCGGGCTGAATAATACAAGACGTGCATAAAAGAATAAAATCTGACACAATAATACCGCATGGGGAGGGGAGGGGGGTGGGCGAACCGAATAGAACATTTTGTGAAGACGAAAACAATCAGAACCGAGATGTCCCAGGAATGAAAAAAGTGGAAGGTTTATGCGTAGGAGGGTTCGTCTATTAGGCTTATCTATCTCGAGGTTAAACACAAACTAAAGAGGAGGAAGAAAAACAAAGACAAATGTTTTCAGAGACTACTACATAGTAACGTCACTAATAAGAACTAGACGTTTGAAACACTTCTACGAACGCTCTGCGATATTACCGCAGTTCAGAAACCACCAAACTAACAAGGGAGGGTTCTGTCAGTCAGCTGACAAAATAAACTTTGACACTTACAATGAGCGTCGTAATCTTGAATGTCTTGTTTTGAAGCGTTTCCATGATTTCCTCTTGGACCATTGACGCCGTCCTCGTTATCTTGAGTCCGGACTCGGGTGACCAAGATCCTATCTGTGAAAGAAGTGTGCGAGGAAACAAGGTTAATGACTAACGTTCTCGGTCGCTCACCTACTCACGTACGTTTCTCTTTTCTGTCTTTTTTTTTTTTTTGCGGTATATTGGCGAAGGCGTTTCCTGCCTTCCAACCCTATAAGGCCCCTAGGCACCATTTTGTATTCACTCCACCTGAAATCGTCTTTAATTTACGTCTCTTCATTTCTCAATAATATTACCCTCTCAAATACAACAAGGGACTAGAAGCGGTTCGTCAACTTTTAATCTCATCCGGGTTGTTCGCAAGCGAATGTTGAACATAGGTTGATCGACTCTTTACATTGTTAATAATTGCAACTTTCTTCTTCTTTTTCTTGTTTAATTCACATACTTTCCAATTTTTTTTTTTTTTTTTTTTTGAGGGGGGGGTTAGAGGGTTTTAATCTCTTGTTGTCCTGAAGTAGAGAAATGGAGCAAGAGAATGATAGAGTTTGTTACTGAAACGTAGAAGTACGTTTTGTAAAATTTGGATTACATTTTTAATTTACAAAATACATTGAGAGTGGTTAAAAAAAGTGTTTAAAACTATATGCCATATCGAAAATAATGCATTGTTTACCACTTACAGTAGCCTGAAGGAAGTGCCTCATGAATTATTTGATTTTGTAAAAAAACATTAAAATGTGAGTATTTTTACATATTTTTGAAGCAACTGCACGCCAATCTTTAGAGCGAACCAGTTAGCTTTAATTCGACAGGTGTTTGCCGTCACAATTAAGAACAAAAAATATATCTAGGTATGAGGAACACTGAAGAAATATAATACCCAGAAAAGAAGTCGGAGAGCGGTAGGATCTTAAGTGCAGTGTAGGAAGATTTAAGTGCGTACTTTCATTAGGAAGGCTGAAAACTAAGACCTTGCAAGAAAAGAACAGCAAAATGTTACTACAAAAGTCCGTGCAATGATATACTTACTGCAAATGAAGGTTAATTTGCGGGTTGTTTGTGTTGCCGTGAAAAATTAAACGCTTAATTAACTACCTTATTATCCTACGCTGCATTCCGTTCAGCGTATGATTTCTGTAAGATTTTAGAACCAACTATTTTTTTTTCAGTCAGCGGCAATGCTTTCTTTTAATAAGGCGTAATCATATTGCTATAGCACGGAGCGAAAAATCTTTGAAAACCTTGCCACTTAGTGAAGAAACAAATTATCGGTTCTCTCCTTTGTCTATTTTCTGTTTATTATCAAAATATTTTTTTTTTGTATAACGTGGGACCATGTCAGGACAGTAACTACAACATGACCCACAATGTTAATGCGAAAATAAACCTATTAAATATTCTTGAGTATTTCGTACGTACGTTTCACATCTTAGCAAATTTCTAAATTAAATTTTACACGATTACGTTTATAAATGTGGTTCTTTTTTAAAAATAAAACGGTTTCATGAATGGTCTTCGAAACATTATGGTAAATCAACTTTCTTCCAGAATACTGAACGCGAGCTTGCTCCTTCGATGGATCAATTTAAATTATATATCTTCAATAAAATGCTTAACTGAAAAACTGGTTGATGAATATTTTAAACAAAACAGCAGACTTCCAAGCGACCAAGCACTGAAATGAAGTTTGTTGAAGTTGTTGAGTATTGAAGTTTGTTGCACAGTTTTGACCTTTAACCTTCAATTTTCATGATGCCCTGCTATTCTTCCGAATGAGAAACACAGGCTTTGGTGATTTTTATTTTTCAATGTTTATAACTTCGCAGACTATTGCCTTAACACTATTCGCTATTCAAGAGGAGCCAACGTCCAGCAAAAAGACTCAAAAAAGAAAAGGGGAGAGCTACTATCTCTACAATTCCGCAGCGAAAACTGGCGCGGCCTAGCGGCCGAAACGCAAAACATAATGAAGCGGCTTAAATCACGTCGCTCGAGTTACGAAGAGTAAACTGGAACATTGTTTCCTTCATTGATGTTTCAGTGGGCGGTCCGGTGTATACAAAGTGCTTCCGGAAACGCGGGCAAAATCGTTCTTGCGGAAACTACACATCGCACAGAAAAAAGGTTGATGCGTTGTGGTTTGTGTCATAGGTCCCACTATGAAAAATTATTTGCATTCAATATAATTATGTAATAATTAGTTTTGAGTAATTAAGTTGTTAAATATTGATATTAAAGTGATATCCTCAGTTAGACTCTTGCTGGGTATAATCGAAATCTACTAAATGCACCCACATTACAATGATATAAGTCACGCGCAGCATTTGTCGGCGTTCCTAAAAATGCTCAATGCGGACGCGTTTCTCGGCTTCGGTTTCTTATCCGAGCGCATCTCAACTCGAGCAATCCCGCTCCCCGAGTCAAAAACGCGCAACGCACGTGCTACGCGTTGCGGCGCACGTGCGTTACGCATTTTATACCCCAGTCAGACAGGCGTCTGGAAGGCCTTTGGGGTAAATGTCCTTTAACTCAAATGTCATTTAGGTGGTGTCAGACGCGCAAGTCAAATGTCATTCGGGCTGAATGACATTTACTATCAACGGAGTTACAACAACTCCGTTAACTCCTCAACTGCCTTCTCCCGTTGACAGCGATCACGGACGATTACGAAAATATATATAAAAAAAGATATTCTTATATAGGTATTCCTCAGTTAGAATTAATTTTAAAACAATATATGAAGTTCTCTGCTTACGTTAGAGCGACTTTAGCGTCCTTTTTCTTGTTTATGTATGCAATCACGTCTTCCTTTGTTCCTTCCTGTTCGTACTGGTCACTGCTCATCACTGTGCTAGACGTTCTCATCTCTTCGCTCTTGATATTTTTTTTTGTTACTTCTTTGTTCTCCTTCGCTTGTGGTTTCGTTTCACAGCTTACCTTTAATTTTGCAGTGCTCTTTTGTTTTTTCGCTTGGACGACCAGTATCTGGCCCTCCAAGCGATCGGCTTCACTTTTTGCCGATGACGCGGCAATTTGGATGGCAGCAAAAAAGCTTTGCTGCTGCGCGTGAATACAAAAAAAGAACAGCAACCTGAGTCTCCGGCGGTTCCAAAGGCATCGTTGTCAACACTACCGGAATCGGTGGGGTAAGCAGAGCAGACCGAGAAGACGAGGAGCCGGACAAAGAACAAACTCGCAAGCCGAGGAATAATGAGCTTTCGCTCAGGAACATCATTGTTGCCTTTAGAGCGGGTCCTACCAGCACGTACAAAGCAAAGTTGCTTCTTCAAAAAAAAAAAAAAGGACAAAAAAAAAAAGACACGTGCAATTGTTAAAAAAATTTAGATAAACACAACGCATAATATTATTTACAAGAATAAACAGCAACACATCAGCAATGTTGTTTATCGACCCATTTACTATGCTAAATGGGGGACCGTTGTCTTCAACAAATCGAAAACTACACTTACAATAAACATCTCCTAAATGACCCTTGAGATGTTCTCCGAAATGTGTGACACCTGAAAGCTTGAATGACCTTTGGGAATTTTTGATGCATTTTGCCTCAATGGCATTTGAGTTGACCGTCTGACAGGGGTATAAGACACCAGGGGCAGGAATGCCCGAGCGAAGATGATCTCCGATGAGAGAGCCCGTTGAACATTACACGCAGAATAACCGAAGCGGTAAGTCATATTATTAACTCATACAGATTAATTAAACTTTCACTTGTTTGTTTTATGCCATATGTTGTGATTTCAGTTTTATATCTAGCTAGAATTAGGTTCCCCACGAAAGTATACACTTTCCGAAGATTCGATGGTCAATAAATTATTAGCAAACCGTCATCCGGTTTCAGGTTGCATTAATTAAACAGAGTGAAAAGTTGCTCCACTCCCTATACGTAAAAGATGCGTAAAATGCTGAAAACGTGCACGTCGCCATGACCTCCTATCTGGATTGCCAAAAATACCATATATGCATTAACACATAAACAAGTTATTAAAATTAATAGTCACCCCATTCGTTATCAGCTCTCACGCAAATTGTTGTTCGGTAGAGTGCGGGCTTGTGAAACGTTAGGCGTACGTAAACTGAAAATTTGCAGGTGATTATGAGTACCACTAAATTTTGGAACCTTAGAAACGTGCAACGTGCCTCATTCCACAGAGCCGCCTAAATGATAGAGTGTGACGCGCCCCCAGTGCTTGGCTTGCCACCAGCCATCTTGTTTGCGCCAGCGACTCAGCGCTTAGCATAACTGTGCGACCCCCGTCTTCGAGCTTTGAACGTTACGCGAGCTTTAGAAGCTACGTGCGCTTTATAAACTCAACCGCTCATTTGGCACCACGTGATGCCGAACACTACGGATAGTCGATCGAAGAGATGCAAGGGTGGTAATGAAAGGTAGGAGATTTTGTCGGTGATGCGAGCGCGTGGGTTCCACTCTCGTGCCATGCTAAACGATCGATCGTGTCTGTCATGCCGAAGTCGACGGTGCCGTCGTGAAGGGGCACCAAGTGTTGGCATCGTCGGGACGTTACTCCGGTCCTCTGACCTAAATAGGCAAAACAACGCGCTGTCCTCTAAGCCAGAGGCACTTGGAATACTTTTCAATTGATCACGACTGCTGGCCTCACAGCGCTCTATTAACGTCCGGCCAGTAGCGAAAGTACACATTTTAAAATATTTGTAATGCATAAAACATTTTAGATAGCATGCAGTGCCTAACTGAACAATATTTAAGTCCACCAAATGTAAAAAAACGAGAGCGTCAATGGTCGATAACTAATCCTCCAAGCACCTTATACAAAATAAAAAAAACATTGGATAAAAGTCGGTGTTCAAGAACACCTGACGTCAATGTTCACTTGGTATACAACCTTTTAAAATCACCTTATCTTTCGATATCTCGCGTTTAAAAAAATTTGCAATCTTTAAGAGGTACAATTGATTCTTCAGAATTCGCGGAACGTAATAATGACATGGTAACCCTGGAGCCGGGGAAAAGAAGGAACGTGGGACAGACACAGAACTTTAATCGCGGATATGAAAACTCTTGCTAATTCTTG